CGATGCAACTCGCAGCTGACACATCATTACCTGCCACATTCTGGTAAATGTATTGTCACGTGCTCGGGACGTCGAAGAAGGCAGCAGTCAGCGTATCCAGGCTCAAACTCTATTTGGCCAAACTTATGGCCAGGAATTCGAATATTTTAGGCAAGCAATGCGTATACATACTTTACTGGTAGCACCGAACAGAGCGTTGGCCATCGTTCTGATCCGCGCCAACATGCGTCATAATTTGTACGCGTACTTTCGAATATTTGAGCGTTATCGCTGATGGCCGAGTTTGTTTTATAATAAACTCAGATCTTGCGTTTGCGCCCTGAAGCCAATGAAATGGTCTGAAAACGACCCAGAATGCACTGAGTCAATCTGGCGCCGATTGCACGAAGCGGGGTCGGCACGTGCAATACACCGACGATGTGAAACAGACCGTTTGGGGTAGTATATATTTTGAGACTCGTGCAAAAAAATCGCAATGAAGGCCGACCGTTCCCCTTCCAAGCTTCTTCATGCAATGTCACCGTGTTTCTTCGTCCGTTCCTTCTCCGGGCCTCAGCTATACGAGAAGACTTCCTGCTCGAATACAGCTACACGACAAGACATCCTCACAAAATTTCAAGAACACAAATACAACGTCCAAACAACAGACCAAATGACTTCAATACAAAATCATCATTGGGATCGAATCAACCATGGCTTGGGAACGGGCATGAGAAACCCGTATACCAAACTATCCTGGGACATTTCTGGGGCGCATGGTGGCCTTTGCCCGGACGGGTGAACGATTCACCGTTTTTGACTAAAGCCTTCTAGTTGGGCCAGTGTGGCTGGAGAGACATGAAACGCAAACCATACGCCTAACTACGGGGAATACTTGTATGCGTAACGTGTAATAATCTGGACAAAAATGTCATAAATACCAGTTTCGCCTCGAGGGCACAGCCATGATGCAACAGACAGAAAGTGATTGATTGATAGATTGATTGATTTATGTGTGTGGTTTGATGTCCCAAAACCACCATATGATATGTGAGACGCCATAGGGGAGGGCTCCGGAAATTTCGACACCCTGGAGTTCTTTAACGTGCACGCAAATCTAAGCCAGAATGTTGCCAACAGCCAGAATGTTGAACGCTTATGGAGACATGCAGCTCACTTATTTGCACCGGATCTAGCGAAACTCGACAAAAAATTCGTGTTAGGGAATAGAGCTTATTCAATATAAATTGCAGATTTTGTGCTGTCTCTCATCACCACCTGAAATTAGCGGTGAAGCAACACAGCAAGTACAAAGGAACACGACTCGTTTACCGATGTCCATCGAGATAGCGCTCGGGACCAACCCCTTGTGATTAAAGTTGGGTAAAAGCAAGAATCAAACTCAGGCATTCTGCGTACTAGCCAAATATTCGATGAAAGAGCCATGCGAGGTCTCGCAACTGCTATGGAATATACCATCATGTGCGTAAAGCCTCCATCGGGGATGCAATGATGGGTATCAATTTTCATAAGCATTACATATGCACCCCTGTGATGCAGCCTTCATAGTAGGTTGCGATCAACTTTCGTTAAGTGCAGTGCACTGAAGGTGATGGATAGTTTATATGAATAGAGGAACGGCGCAAATAGGCAATGCTAACTTCATTTCGAGATCATTAACAAAAACCAGTGCATCTCGACGTAGTCAATGACGATGGCGACAGCTGGTCGAAGCTATAAGCCGTAAGGTTCATATTGTCTACGTTGAATTACCGGACTACCTTAAAGGACCGACAAATGAACGGATGGACGCACAGACGGGCATGTGGACGTCTGCACGCGAGGAGAAAGAAGTGGACATATGCACGGATGCATGGACGGTCGGACGCATAGTTGGATGGAAGGACAGACAGATGGATGGACGAACAGAGAGATGGGCGAACCCACGAATGGACGAACGACAGATCAATGGCCGGACAGACTGATGGACTGTTGAATGAACGAGTGAACGGATTGATGCACGGACGGCCCGGGTGATTGCGTATTGTGCTGTCGTATACTTGATCACTCATAACGTCGGCTCTTTATATATCAATCTAATTTTATTGATAAAACGTAAGCAATTGTTACAATTTAGCTGGACCGCAGGTCTATATTGGCTAGTGGTCGGCCCATATCCGAGTATATAAATTTGATATAGACTGACAAAATCAGAATTTTGATATGGTCGGTCCATATCGCAGTTTTGCCATGCACATACCTTTTCATTATTTGTAGTGCAGGAGTTCAGTTTTTGTTATTAATTTGGGGCCTTAATGGACATCAAGAAGGTCGGCCCTATAGGAGCTTCACCCCAAAGCTGGCATCAGCAGCGTTGATCAAACGAACGCGTAGAATAGCTATCATGGTCCGAGCAGGAATCTACCCCAGCATTCTTCGTGGCAAACAACTATTCTACCACAAATCGATGCCAGGTCCCGGAACTGCTTTTGAAGTAAGCCACAATGTTCGTTAAACGTCAATTGTGTTTGCAGTGCTTGCTATAAAATTTTATAAACGGTGCATATGTACTCCTATCATGCAGCCGACAGGTTGTAATAACGGAAATCGTACTGAAGCGTCATCTAGTGAAGCTCATTTATCGATACATGGCCACAAACCTCGCTTGCACAAGCACTACGTATCACCTTATCGCTTCTGGTGTTGCTAATACCAATGTTGCTGTGGGAATCGTTACACAACAGTAAAATTGTGAATGTTGAACAAATATGTGTGCATACAACATTTGTACGTTTAGCGTCAGTTCGTGGCAATTGGCTTAATACAAAAATTACAACACAGTCACCTTCGCTTCGCATGTTTTGCATAACGTCGAGTGCCAAGGTACATGCGATCTACAGATCCTTTTTTGTGTGAGTTTCCTCTCCCTGCTTGACGTGACAAAATACGGGCGGCCAGTTTTCTCTCTTCTTGAAGAGCATTCAGCGGCAGGCCTCACACGCGTGGCAATGCTATCGCTTGCGCTCTTCGTGCGACGGACATGACTACATAGGTGGCTAGATTTATCTCTTCTACAGCTAGCCGTTTTCGTCCCCAGCTGACGCGTGCTTTCTTTCGCTCGTCTCACCTGTGATGCGTGTGGGGATGCTATATATGTGGGCTTCATTGTCAATATGATGGCCACGGCATTTAGAAAAAAAAATAACGCCGAGAGAGTCGATGCATTTGCTATTACAATAAAAGACAAAATTGCTTGTACGCTTTTCTCACTACCACTGATGATATTGGTGCGAGAGTGTTAAAGAGCTCGTGTCGGAGATCTTCCGGTATCTGCGGCGACGCCGCTAGTTGTGAGCAAAACATCGGCGTGGTCCATGTTTGAAAATGGTGGTGACTGCAAATAATTAAAATAATGTATCCGAGTCGCAATCGAGCATAGGCAATCTGTACTGCAAGAAGGAGTTCTACAGATGCACGCCTACCAGTGCATTAAACTGCTGCGGAAGTAAAATACAAAGGTCATGCAGCGCAAGGAGTCGTGTCAAGAAGTACAATGGAGCGTAGCAGAATCTCACAATGGCACGAGGTGTCACACCTTGATAATTGCGCAAAGATTGGGTAGTAGGCCTACACACACACATCCATCTTTACACTTTGTCCTCGTTCTCACCCAAAGCATCCATAATGTTGCACAGCTGCAAAGGTCCGCATGTTCATAGCTCGCCCATGGCTCCCGCATGACGGCCTAACGATGATTTCAAGGCAGTATATTCACGTGCGATTAACTTGCTTCTGTCTGAAAACGATGTCGCTAGAGCGCTCTTCGGCTTCTGTGCGTAAATAGCGACAAAATCAAATGCAAGGCAGGGGGTTTATTTCGATGCGCTCTAACAGGCACGTTACATCATAAATTTCGCCCACCAGCATGTTCGTGCTTCTATGTGGTATATTAAGGTATGTCTGTGCAAGCCATTTATTGTTTTGCGCACGCACACTGGGTACATCGTTCATTCCCAAAACGATCTTGTGGTATATATCGGGCATCGTAACTGCACTATAGCAGTAGGCGTTGCATTCCTCACGTCCTGGCTGAGTGATTCAAACAACCAGGTAGAATGTCTAAGCAAATCATAGGATGTTGCGAACGCAGCCTGTTTACGCTTTTGCTGTCTGCTCATTAAGGCGAAGCTTAAAAGTCCTGAAAGCTTTAGGTATTGTGTATGCCCACCGTGGGCAAGCAAAGTGTATTGCAGTATACAGTGCGTTGCCTTTAACATTGTCTTTTACAGCTTATAAGGGTACAACAGCAGAAACTTTAAATTTGTCTAAACACAAAAAGCTTTTCCTCTAGGTGTTACCGCTCGCCGTCTAGGGGTGAAGTAAGGTCGGAAATATTGTAACAATAGGCCCTGTATTTACAAGTTTGCAAATGTTGTCGAAAGACGATAGTCTTCCATCTGGAGTGAGTGAACAAAACATTTGCTTTGTGCGCGAGAAAAACGCGGAGTGGGATTCTGGAGGCGCAGCGGGAGACATGAGCGTCATCTGGCAGTAATCTTGGAAAACGAAAGAATGGCCTGCGACATAGCATGCGGCCAGCGGGCGTGCGCCATGTTAAAGGCCCTATTGTAATAATACTGATTGTTGGCCTAGTTGGTATTTACTTAATGGCATGATTTGGCCGCAAAAGAGACACACACAAGAAAAGGAACACTCAAACGACGCCTGTGCTTGTCGTTTGAGTGTTCCTTTTCTTGTGTGTGTCTCTTTTGCGGCCAAATCATGCCATTAAAGGCCCTAGTTTGTAGAATGCAGGGCCACCTGTAGGTTGCAGCACCATATCGTCTTATTCAAACGTAGAAATCATACACCCTTTTGTGCGTAGCGTCGCATTCTGAGCGCAGCCTAATACACGTTATAGTCTTTACAACTACTTATATATGCATTTTCAAGTATATAGAAGCAGGCCACAGAATACTAACGGATTGATTTTGTGCATCAGATATGCGCAGCGTTTTTTTATTTCGACAGAGTGCACAAGCATGAGCGTAAAAAACAGATCAAGATTGGTGGGTGTTGAGGAAGTGGTTGAACGTTGCCCTAATATTCGAATTATTTCAGTTGAGAGACAGATGGTAGCAATGTTTGGGGTACCATGTAAAATATGTCTCAAATATGAACCCAATGAGCTGATTCTGGTACTGCAGGAAGGGTTAAAAGCTACATCGTGGTAAAATCCTGCGAGGCCAGCAAGGAAAGAAACCACGGTGCATTCAGTGAACTCAACGGGTAAAGGGAAAGAAAAGTGTGCTTCCGTAACAGCGGTCCTACACGTGGCGGCCGTTGACACAGCTAGCGAGGCAGCTCTTGATGCTTGAGAACCACTTGGAGCCGTGGTTGCACACGTGCACTGGGTCTGTGGCTGCCAGTACGCAGGCTTTCCTGTAGGCACTGCAGTAGAATTCGTGCTTTGGAAGTTCGCAGTGAGTGTACACGTGCCCACTGCAAGACTCGAGGGTGACGGCCTGTTCTGCGCAAGAATTGTGTACATCAATGCAACATATGAAAAAGGCGTCAATGTATAAAAGACTTAAAACACCAATAAGTGAGACCTGGCTCTCGAAACCTTTTCTAATATTGATGATATTTAAGAAAAGTGCTTCTTCAGCCACTGAAACTTGCTCTTTTTCGATCACCTTTTTTACACACCCTGGAGGAACCTCATTGCGTGGTGGCTAGAGGAAGATTTCGCAAGTGGTGTGCCAGTTGTTGCCGCGCAAAAGTTGTGGGCAGTCGCCGCTGCTGTGCAAGGCCTATGTTAAGAGATGTTGCATTACAAGTGCCTAAGTATTACGGTACCTATACCAATGTTTTCTAACACGGAGTAGATGAACAGAAGAAAACGTTACCAGCAACCGCCAGGTGTTAGGTTTGTTGTGATGAAATGCGTTTACTTATCTTTTTTGTAGTGTGTGTAGCTTAGGTCAACAACGCGAAGTAAGTATATATATATATATATATATATATATATATATATATATATATATATATATATATATATATACGAACAATGCTTGCTTTCTACGTGTTACTCTGGTCACTTATACTGCGAGTTGAGAACGCCAGGCACCCATAATCCCTTACACAAGCGTTTTACACAGTTACGAAATGTTTCTATTAGAAATCGTACTTAGTCTCCATTTTACGAGAGGAGAACTTTTTCCCGGTATTAAATGTATGACGTGAGAGCGTTTAGGACAGGATATGACGTTTTTTTCCCCTTTCATTTCGTATAAAAATTTTGCAGCCTGTCGATTCTTCATGCGAACTACAGCCCAACTGAGCGAATTCTGCTTTACTGACTGACTGACAAAACGAAGGAGAACCGGACAAACAGTTACAATGAAACATTGAATACTTACAGACGCTCACTAATTAAAATAAACTTCTGTCTGAGTAAGATGTTGAAGTTGGTTGCCAAGAAAGAGTAGTACTAAAGTAAATTATGCAAATAGGAAATATATACACCATATAAACTCGTGCGTTCATACTACATTTCCCGTGGTAATCTCCACTACGCAATATGTTGAGGTTTACTTCACATGAGGACGACACCCGTACTCCTGGGAGGTTTTTTCGTCCATGTTTGAATTAGTGCTGCATTTTTCAGGTGTATCCGTACCAAGGAAACGCATTCATTCCCATTGACGTCATATATATATTTAAAATGAGCTAGAAAACCCACACCCGTCCCCATGAGCAGTTTCATAGGTTTCTTTTTAAATAGCAGTTAGCAAACGACATTCCTGCAGCTTCACTGCAAAGATTTTGAACATGCTGCTATTTAGTATTTATTTCATGCAAAGGCCACTTTGCGATGTTACTACTCTACTCTGATATCACAAGTGTAACGTTGGCCCAAGAAGCCCCTAAAAGAAAAAAAACTATTCTGTGAACAAAGTTATTAGCTGCTCGCAGCCCTAATTTCATTACCGGAAGACATCAAGGCATACATGAAATATATCACAAATAATGAGCCAACTTACACGTCTCAGTTCCCCGTCGTGTTCTTCCTGAGCACCAGTTGTGGCTGCGGTAACTGGCGGAGTCGTCACTGGGCTAGTCACCACCCTCGTCAGCAGTAGTCGAGCTGTCCTCCCTTTCGTAGCCCTGGCCGCGACTTGGACTCTTGTGAAAGTGCCTGTCGTCGTTCTCCTGCTCCCTTTTTCATCGACGTCCGGATGTGTGACCCTCCTCGGAATGAACCACTGGACAACGGTGTTGGTTGCTATCTCCAGCCGCTGCTCGAAAGCTCCATACGCGACGTCTGGTGTGACATCGTAAGGTGACAGTGAGTTGGGGACAATGGGCAGCCTGATGCCTAGGAGGAGCTTTGCAAAAGCGATGCCAAGGACGACACTCAGGAACTCGACATGGCTGGGTTTCGAGGGCTCGCTCAAGGATTCGGGATCCAGCGTCTGCTCGGAAACGGGCCCTGAGCCATCTTCGTAGTAGTATCTCGGAAAGCTACGATCCGATGGCACAGCAGCTGCTGGCCACGGACCTTCTGCCAGAAAACATAACCCAGCTGGTGATGGTGCAGCCCACGTCGGCGAAGGCGTCCATTTGCTGCGGAATCTCCAGACTGGTGGTGAGAAGACGCTGGATCGCTCGGCGTCCCTGTAACACTGAGGCTCCCCTTGAACGGGCTCCATTCTCGCCAAATGCACACGTGGACAATCGAAGGATGGTTACAAGCAGAACGAGGCAACGGTGCATGTGACGTTGGTACTTCTTTGTCTTCGCTGCCTCACGGCACGCGCTCCGGATTCAAGAGTTCTCGTTCTTGTTCACCTATTAATCGTGGCACATACCCACTATGGGGGATTGGCCAAGAATCAAGTGGTTCTAAAAATTATTGTTCAGATTTAAAATAATGGAGATATATTAGAAAGATTACCGATAACCTAGGAAACTATGGTGCTTGATCTAATGCATACAATTCTTTAAATAAAGAAACAAATTTATTCTTAGAAAAGAGAAATATTCCGATTTATACGCGTATAATTTTGTAGACACGTTAATTGAATGAAACATGTTAATTAGTCCATCTATTAATTTCAACAGGATAGTCCGAGATGGCCGCGCATACTGTTGCAGTAGAGAACACGGAAATAGAAGCTCCGAAAGGCAAAATGGCACGCAGAGATATGTCAATATCAATACCTCACAAAGCTATTTCTAATATAGTTTTTCGTATTATGTTAAACCACACGCAGGTCAAAAACAAATGATCTATTTTTACAAGTTCATCAGAAAAAACACACAGTGGGGAAAGTGCCTGAGCCGACCTGTGTTTTGAGAAATTTAGATTTGGAACCCGGCAACGCAGCCTTGTGATAGCTACTTCTTGTTTACGAGTGCGGCAAAAGTCTCTTCGCCAGGGATATAATAAATGGCGATATTCGATAGAGTTTGTTAGTGCTGAACCTCTAAAGACTTACATAAGCGTATGTCCTTGGAATCGTGCAGCAGTCACATAAACGGATGAGGGGCAGTGTGGTAGAATCAGTTCGCTAATTGACGACTTAGCTAAGGAATGGGCAATTTCATTTATGAATAAGCCTTTATGTAATGGCATCCAATCTAGTAGAACTTTTCTCAAATGTGCAGGCACTAGTGCGCGGAGCGCTTTTGTTACTTGATTATCAGGACCAACAGAAAGTGCCGTACAGGGATATAGGGAATCTGTTTTGATGAAAGCTGATGTAATTGATGTATCTAACTTGCGTAAAGTGAGCAATGACTACTGCCGGAAATTCAGCCCCCAAAACGGGCATGAAATCAGGTAGTCGAAGGGAAGAAATTTAATCGAAAGTCGGGCTGAAAGTACCAACTCCAGGCTTTTTGTCACAGCGATAATAGCGTTTGTTGTCATACTGCTCAGATTATCTTGTAGTAAACCATCCAAAATATAATCGGGAAGTAATTTGGCGTTATTAGAAAAAATATCGTCAAATGAATTCCCACAGCATATGAATTATCAGGACTCGGCATGATATCGCATATACGTTCGTTTAGAGGCTCCAGTAAATTTTGCACAAATATAACTTGTGGTGTCTGAAATCACGGCAATCTTGCACCAAAAAGTGGTTCCGGGGGAGGAAAAAGAGGCTGTTTCTGAATATCCTAACGGTTATTCATAAATTCTTAAGGATGTTTGAACAGTCAGAAGTTGAATATTTCAAGAAAGAGCAGAAACCTTCGATTCCAGATACATCACATTGTTAGCAACTGTTTTAAGCAGGCCAAGGCATAAGCGCAAAGCTTCTCTTTCCAGAAGAAATAGAGGCCGCAACTTGTAAGCTGGAACTCCAGAAAAATGTACACAACCAAAATCCAAATAGTACGAATGTACGTGAAATATATCATTACCAGTGTGCCTCTTCTGATACTTATGCGGTAGTTGCTTAGCCTCCGTAATATGCCAGCGCCCACGAACACCTTTTCTGGCAACATATTCAATATGAGGTCGCCATTTGGGCGAAGTGTGATAAATTACTCCAAGGTATTTAACAGATTCCACATGTGGTATATCCTCATGATGGTAAGACAAAGAGATGTGTACGGGGTTTTAAAGCGGGAAAACAAGGAGGGTAAATTTACTCGGATTAAGTAGAAAGCATTTGCCACCGAGCCAGCTCTTTATTATGTTGTTATAAGTCTGCAGCCGTCCGTATAAAGTCTAAATGATATCTGCCATTTCAAAAAAACACGATATTGTCTGCACAAACATATGTTGTTACATCCTGGTTAGGTCGAATGGTGCTCATTAGTAAATAAATAGCACCGGGAAAGCACTGAACCTTGCAGTACTCCCGTCGTTTTTGTATGAGTATATGATGAAAACTTTGAATTGACCTCACGTTAAAAAGTTCATTATTTCGCATAATGATGATTCTCTAAACCAAATTCACTAAATTTGATATCAATGCGATTGACCTCATATTATCCAATATGTATGCTTTATTTTCATTTTTGAGCAACATTATAATTATGGAGTTTCCATTCTGGAGGTATTCATGCGTTCTCTAACGAAGAATTCACTAGTTCTAGCAAAAGAGTGGGTGATTCCTAGAGTAAAATTTTTAACATACAGTTCATAATTCTATCTGGTCCAGGAGCTGTCCTCGGTAAGCATATTACTGTCTGAGTCAATTCAGCTAAAGAAACTTCTGGAAATTTATGCAAGTTTTTCAGCATGGGCTGGATAGCCGAAAGAGTAGCAGTGAAGTGGCATATCAAACACTGCGCTATGTCTTCTAGAGAGGTGTCGCATTTCTTGCGGCGTATAGACACATGACTGCAACGTTAAAGGTGCTGGCAGTACTTTTCTTGGCCGAAGGTAAGCAAACAGAGCACGCTTATTTCTTGATTTTGCAACATATTCGAAATGTCTACTGTCGTATTCTTCTTTAGCGTGGTTTTAGCACACCTCAATACGTCAGCAAAGACTTTAGAGTCCTTCAAGTTGGTTGGGCTTTGATTATGAAGAAGTTTTCTCGAAGCGGCTTTTCTTCTTCTATAATTGCGTGTACAATCATCATTCCACCAACTAAAAGAGGATCGTTTATTCCATGGAATAGAAAACTTGAATTGTTTCTAGATCTCTCCACCATTGAACCAATCGTAGATGTAGTTTCCTTAGTACCGGCATTTCGAAGCTTAGAATAGCAGAACGGAGGAAGGCTTGAAATTCGCAATGGTTGATGTATGGGCGTTTTGGCTGGTCTAAAGGGTTTGTTGGACTAGTAATATCAAAAACTACAGGAATATTGTCGTTGTTAAAGGCTGAATCCAGAACAGCCCATGAAAAAACCTTGATTGCTTTGGAGTAAAACGTGTAATCTAATACTAAGCAAGTCTGACCGCGGACAAGTGTTGCATGGCTTTTATTTAGACATGAGAGGTTGGAATCAATAGTCCCTTCCCACAGTCGGCTACCACAAGAATTTGTCCTTAAGCCCTAAGACATATTATGTGAACCAAAGTCTCCTGTGAGTATAATTTCCTTTCTACATGGTAGCAAAACACTGTCAAGATATCGCGTACTTTCCTCACCGGAGGGGAAGTAACACTTCATAACTGAAAAAGGGTGGCATCCGTGGAGACAGTAGTCTAATGCTTATTATTTACCCACTCTGAGTCTAACATTCTGAAAGAAATTTTCGCCCTATGGCATAATTTACTTGATACAAGAATCATTAAACCACCACATCGTGATGGGCTATCTATTCGAAAAGAAAACAAACATGCAAGATGGAAATTTTTATCTGATGTAAGCCAAGTTTCTTCGAGAAATCTATTATGAAGATTAATATTATTGTAAAAATAATGTGAGTCGGCTGACGCTCTCAATATAGAACGGCAGTTCCACTGTGGTACCCCCACCTGACCTATGGTGTTGGGCGCACCGCAGAGGCGCGTGCCGCGCCCTTCTTAGCATCTTTACGCGAAATGCCTGATTCATTCCGTTTACTTTTGGCCTTCACATCGGTGAAGATAGGGGATCTGGTACGTTTATTATTTAGCATATCGAGTTCCATATCCGTTCCAGCACTTGTGCTCGGCTGAGGTGTATGTCGGTCCAATTGCACCTGTGTTCCGGACTGCTTAGCCTTGTCTGCAGATGCAGAAAGTTCGTCCAACACTACATTGCGTAACTGAGTGGCATCGCTGGGAATGTCCGATACTGCAGGTTCTGTACTAGTCTGTACTCTTTGCCGATTTTGATTTCAAAGAATTTGCACAAATCAGAGGGAAATGTTAGATATGAGTTTATCCAATGTCTTACTGACTGCCTTTTACAGAGCAGTTTCAACAGCCTTCAATATTTTTGAGTCAATACGGGAAGTTTAGCACGCTCTCATCCCAGAGTATCCAAAAGCGTTGTCTCTAACTATGTCAATGGCTTCCCTTCGAGAACAGTATTTCGCTTTGGGCTTGTGCATTGGTGATGATGATGATGATTCTCGGAAGAACGGCAAAACCTATCACGAGGGATGGGCACGAAGCGTGCTTCAGTATAATTTGCAAAGCAAAATGATATATAAATAAAAGAGGCAAACAGAGAGACGAGAAACAAGAGAGAAGGATATGCGAAGAAGATCATCTATATGGAAGCAAAAATAGTTGTGATAATTTTGCAATGTGATAATTTTCATTGTGATATATTTTAATGCAACGCTACTGAACTTTAAGATTATTATATCAGATAAATAGTGGGTATATTTGAGGTAAATGAATTATTGCTTTGTCTTGTGCTTTGATATCTGCGACACGCAATTATTCAGGGCATGATCGTTTCTTCATGATTACAGAAGTTGCAATGAGGGGAAGGAACGAATCTAGACATGTGTAAATAAAAATTTATTGACGGCATTCTGCATCAAAGTTTTGTAATCGTAACTTGTCATTTGCCTTGTGCTGCCTCAAGAGCAAATCCAAGGATACTTAAGGTGCTGAAAATTTGTGTCGGTATCTTGGGCATAATTTAATTGTGCAAAATCCAATAGGATGTCAGTAACTGAAAATTGAGGAGCCATTCCTATGCTTGAAGTTGGATGGCCGGTGACTTCGGTCAGCACATGACATTTATTTGATACAGAATACTGAGCCGTAGCAAATCACACACTTTACAGCTAAATGCAAAATA